GAATTGTTCAAGGTTGTCCAAAACTGATCGTTTAGAATATTATTTATTTGACTATTTTTTTGTTTCCACATAGAAATGCACAAATGGTTAAAAATGAGAGGGTGTTTTGAGTGAAAAAATATTTTTTATAATCCTTTTTATCCATAGTCTAAGAAAACTCGTTTACCATTTATTCTCCATGAGAGATGATATAGGATAATACAAATTTGCTACATTGGAAAATTATTGTAAATCAAATTTTAAAATATTAATAGTATTTTTTTATAAAATCCTAATTATCTGATTTTTATTATTTTTATTACTAATTTCAGGCATAACTAACAAAGATATGATACCAATAAGGTACTAGAGATTTTTTAGTCAAACGAATTTAGTTACTGACAAAAAGGGATCAACGAAAACTTGTATGAGAATCATCTTAGAGGGAATGCATTGATTAGTGTAACTCCAAATAATTTACTAGACATATAAATTTATTGTATTATGAAATAAAAATATTGATGTTTTGATTTGAGTCCAAAAACAGTGGAAAGCATAAATGGTATTTTTATGTTACCATTAACTCATATCTTATACCATATAGAGGCTTTTTAGTTTTCATTGACTCACATTTAAGAAAATGTATACTTGTTATATATATATATATATATATATATATATATATATATTGTTAGTATTTCAAAGATTATCAATTATTTTGTCAGAAGTTAACGAGAGAGAAAACACAAAATGAAAAACAGTTGTCCATTTCTTGGTCCTCAATGTGATTACTGTGAGTGCACAGGTAGTGGATGTCAGTCGCAATTCCCAGGTAATATTCATGAGCCTTTTATAACATTTTTACTCATGATAATATACTGACCAATGTAATACTTTATAACAAAATAAATTTTTGTTAGCTTCATTTGGAGCAATGGGTTTACTTTATACAATGTTAGCGAACAAAATTAACTTTACATAACATTACAATAACAATAATAGTCACAGATTAATATTTTTATATGTGACTGTGACATAGATAATAGATTTCGAAAGTATTGTCATATATGAAACTAAAGTAAGAATAAATAAGAAATGTTATTTTTTGTTCTTATTTATTTTAATCTACTCAAATTTAATAAAAAAGTCTTATATTTTTCAATTTTTTAATCTCATTAAATAATAATATTTTACCCTATACACATCTTTGTTTAGCTTCCAAATGTGTGATTTTATACGATTTAGGTTATAATGTACCAATATTTTTAGAGCAATCGCTCTAATCATTCATAATATAGATTTATAACTAAACGTGATGATTTATTAAATAATCACATATATCTTATAAAAAATAATTAAAGAAAAAGGTGGTCATTTGATCTAAACTAAGAAAAATAAATTTGTGATCTAGTGCATAAACAAAATTGACTAAACATGTCTCTACAAACTTTACCATACATAAAACCAAAAATTNGTGGAGTCGAAGCGAAGAGAAAGATTGAAAGGGACAATCCCCACGTGACTGCTTTTATATATCCTCAAAATGTCTATCTACCAGCCATCAATTGTTGTAACCGTGTTATCCTCAAAGTTCCAAGCAACAATTGCCCCAACGGACCGGTCCTCAATCGTCCTAAGGTCGGATGATCTACTATATGATATTGTTCCTTTTTCATAATGCAGATTTATAATGAGCTTCAATAAGGTTTAAACTGTGTCTTGTTTTGAACTATTTTCTTGAATAAAATAGAAATATAATACCTATTTCTATGATATAATCTTATGTCCCCAAGTTAATATATTTTTCATACCGAACTAGATTGATAACAATAAATAGTTCAAAACGAGAAACAATTTAAACCAAGTGAACAATACAAAATACCAAGTCGCGAAGCACATTTTAGCCTCGAACAATGTGCATTAGATTGATAACAATAAGCAATGATGTGTTTTTTTCAGTGTAAAAACTTCATCAGCATGGCCTAAGACTAGTTTTTAGTTAAAATTTCTTGAGACAAGCTCGGTTGCAGCAGTAGCTACTAACACTCCAGCCAAAAATTACTAGCTCTACTAAAGTTACTTCTTGACAAAAAAGACTTTGTTCCACAACAATAGATGTGGCTGTGACACGATGTGTCAGTAGTAACTCATGTATTGTAAAAAGGTAAACATAAAATAACTTAGAAATGATTTTGGAGCTACATCCAAATATTAATTGCAAATAATACAATCTCCACTTGATTAGTGGATGCGTAGTGTTGAAAATGAAACTTTGCACTGAAGATGTTTGATGAAGTGATAAGAGAAGCTTGGTTTTTTGGTAAGCGACATAGAGATGTAGCATAAATGTTTCAAGGTTTTTAAAATTGATCGAACATTTTACGTTTGTAAACACAGCCTATGCGTATGATGAAAAGTTCAAAATGTTATTTATTTAACTTACAACCCTTAAAGTACATATTTCATAGAGCAAACTGAGACTACGTTTTATAATATTACATCCATTGTACCCACATCCTTTAATTTTTTTTCGTTCATATACTAATATATCTAAGATAATATGTATTAACGATAGTATGTTCATCATCGGTTTGATATGCATTTTTCAAAAGAAATTGTAACAAAAAAGAGAGTTATATTGGATATGTATATGTGTATAAATTTGACTTCATAAAATAAAATTAAAAATTGTGTTTATAAACTATTCTTACCATCAGATCAAATGTACAATATATAGTTTTTTATTTACAGAATTGTTCAAGGTTGTCCAAANAGTATGTTCATCATCGGTTTGATATGCATTTTTCAAAAGAAATTGTAACAAAAAAGAGAGTTATATTGGATATGTATATGTGTATAAATTTGACTTCATAAAATAAAATTAAAAATTGTGTTTATAAACTATTCTTACCATCAGATCAAATGTACAATATATAGTTTTTTATTTACAGAATTGTTCAAGGTTGTCCAAACTGATCGTTTAGAATATTATTTATTTGACTATTTTTTGTTTCCACATAGAAATGCACAAATGGTTAAAAATGAGAGGGTGTTTTGAGTGAAAAAGATATTTTTATAATCCTTTTTATCCATAGTCTAAGAAAACTCGTTTACCATTTATTCTCCATGAGAGATGATATAGGATAATACAAATTTGCTACACTGGAAAATTATTGTAAATCAAATTTTAAAATATTAATAGTATTTTTTATAAAATCCTAATTATCTGATTTTTATTATTTTTATTACTAATTTCAGGCATAACTAACAAAGATATGATACCAATAAGGTACTAGAGATTTTTTAGTCAAACGAATTTAGTTACTGACAAAAAGGGATCAACGAAAACTTGTATGAGAATCATCTTAGAGGGAATGCATTGATTAGTGTAACTCCAAATAATTTACTAGACATATAAATTTATTGTATTATGAAATAAAAATATTGATGTTTTGATTTGAGTCCAAAAACAGTGGAAAGCAGAAATGGTATTTTTTTTTTTTTTGGTAACAAACGGCTGATCTATTACTCAAGCTTGAGGTGGTATAGGAAGCCAGACCGGAATAGAACAACCAACATACAATAAGTGTCGATAAAAGGACCGAGCCGTTTTGGTAAGAGAATCATCAACTACATTTGCCGTCCTAGGAACATAGGAGATCTTAAAATCTGGAAAACAAATCTGCAGAGTCATGATCTTTTCTAGCTCCGTTGAGAAAGTTGGCCGGCCATCGGGATCTCTAAGCATCGCTATTAACTCCTTGCAGTCCGTCCCATAGCTCTGACATGGCGAATGTTGAATCATGTTCTCCATTGCCCACCGCAGTGCTTCCAGCTCAGAGTGCAAAGCCGATTCCATCTTACTCACATTACTCATACCCATTAGCTGCCTACTCCCCATATAATCAGTCCATACCCATCCACATCCACTGAATTGACTCGTAGAAGTCCATGAACCGTCAATCATGCAGATATTTCCCAGACTTATGGTCTGGTCCATATCCATGTGTCCTTGATCTGGTACTAAATATTGTTCATTAGCTTGGAACCAAGCTTGACACTCACTCTCTGCATATCTGGCTAATTCCAGTGGGTCTCTATCAATTCTTCTGAACAGCCTATCGTTTCGA